TGATTACTTTCCGAAATATTAATAAAAAACTTTCAGTACTATATATTGAAACTATGTATAAAGACGTTACTAAACATTGATTGCTGTCTATCCAGATGTTACTAATGCAACCGTCTTCGCTCTGTGGTCATTGCCGTCAAGTGTCGAGTATAGGCCCGGTATCTATGAGGCAACGAATTTCGTTCAAATAAGGCTCATTGAATGAATCAGCTACTGAAAGCGTGACCGGTCGTAGTCTAACCTAACCGAATCATATATGTAATCATCTTGTCGATCTGTCGAGCTGGAGCACAGCGTCTAATACCACCGAATATCTAGACTGCCGGCAACATCAGAACAGTTATCGCTTTGCCAAAATGTTACGTGGGACACCCTACAGATGCTGAGGCCGCTACCGCTATTGTGCTATCGGCTACTCGACAGTTGAGGGCGATACCACTATACTGAAGACGGTTACATTAGTAACATGTGGATAGTTAGCATTCAATGTTTAGTGACGTCTGCATACGCAATTTTCAATGCAATAGTATTGAAAGTTTTTTATTAATATCTCGGAAACTAATAATTGATTAGAGCTAATATTTTATATTTGCTAATTTCATGTTGATCAGCTACATTTCGGAACTACATACACCCTGATTTTTATCGTTACAATAATATCTCTTACATTGTCGCCATGGTCGGAACCAAATAGCGTCAGTTTGGGTAGAGGAGACACGGTTTTTGAGGGTCGCAGCCCGCTTTTGTAGTTTGCCGAACGAAGACAAGACCAACGAATAAAAGATAAGGATGAAACGAGGGTCGAGGCCACCGAGCGATTTAAACACCAGCATTTTTATTTTTAACTTGTTCTGTATGAAAAAGTTATTAACATATTAATGAGATTGTTCTGATTAAAATGAGACCTAACACGATATAATTTGAACAACATTTACTTATTAATACTTATGGCGTAACTCATTTGATTTCATTATCGCTTTAAATAAATTATAAAATACATGAAATATCTGTACACATTGTACGTCGAATGTAAGTTGTGCCTTCACATTTTCCGTTGAATGCTAAAAAATTGGGTGGTACAACCTACGTGAAAGCACAGCTCGTATGACAGCAACAGTGTGAAGGTAGTAACTAGGTTTCAGTAGCGTCAATGTGAAGGGAGGATATGGGTCGAAACGACACTTTGAATGGGGGGGACTAGGCTTCGTGGATAATGTGAAGGTGGTCCAAATTATATCATGTTTGATCTCATTTTAATCATAAAAATCTCACCAATATGTTAAACAAATTTTCAGTTAGAAAAAAGTAAAATTAAAAAGGTTATATTAATGTATTATGAACTGTCAAGTCGTGAACTCTCATCAAAAGAACCGCGTTGCTCATTGCATTACACACTTTGCATGCTTGACTGACTCCGAGGAAGATAACATAGATGTAGCAATAGTGTATGCCTAGGCGTAGGAGCAGCTAGGCGACAGTGTGAGGGGAGATCGAGTAGCGACAATATGAGAGATATTACTGTATTACGTACCCTTAAATGATGAATTCCCCCTACTCACTCTTTCGGACGCATGCGTGTATGTGTATGTGTAAGCGGGATGTGCGCGCGCGCGTGTGTTTCACATTTGTATATACAAGATGGGGCATTTAAAACAGGTCACCTGAATAACACGCTTGCTTTTGATGATAGAAAAAAATGCATCAGATCAAACTTGTTTGGTTTCGAGGGGCACATAATCTCATGTTAATAATTTTTTTGTGGGTGTCGGCGTAGAGGAGATATGAAGGTCAATCCTGTTTTTTTAAATGGAATGTATATGGTGTCTTATTTATATTCTAATAGGACATTTCATGACGAATATAATGACCTATATGAAGGTCACACAAGGTCAACTACAGTGGAAAATAAATTGCTTAAAGACACTCTTCGAACACTTGGGCGATTTACTTATTTACATACACACTGCTAATACAAATGTTCAAAATGGCGACCTTGAGCATCAATACATAATCTAAAACGTTGCAATACAGATAAAACTGCACGACGATCATATATCGATGGTCAAGGCCGCTATTTTGAACACTTGTATTAATAGTGTGCATGTACTTATGTATATATATACATAAGCAAATAGCCGAAGTGCTCGAAGAGTGTCTTTAAGCAATTTATTTTCCATTGTAGTTGACCTTGTGTAACCTTCATAGAGGTCATTGTATTCGTCATGAAACGTCCTATTAGAATATAAATAAGACACCATATACATTCCATTTAAAAAAACAGGGTTGACCTTCATATCTCCTCCTCGCTTCCACATACAAAAAAATTATTAACATGAGATTATGTGCCCCTCGAAACCAAGCAAGTTTGATCTGATGCATTTTTTTCTATCAAGAGGAAGCGTGTTATTTAGGTGACCTGTTTTAAATGCTCCATCCTGTATACAAGGTATACAAAAAAGTCTTAATAAACATGGATTTAAAAACCATTAGTTTCGGAGTTACGAGATGTTTTCTACTATAAGCCTGCAACAGAATAACAGACTCTATTCAATATTTATCTAATACCTATTCAAAGAAAAGTAAACAATCGTATGCTGAATGATATCATATGTTTATTTACATAATGCTACTACGATTATGCTTACTTTTCTTTGGTTAGGTTTTAGATAAATATGGTATAGTAGAAAACATTTCGTAGCTCCGAAACTAATGCTTTTTGAACCCATGTTTATTAAGACTTTTTGCTTGTTTTAATGAGTACTGCATGCTCTTAAAGTTTGTTCCCAACTTGTTCGCACACCTAGTATATACAGGGTGTTATGTAACTGGTGGTACAAGCCGACAAATGATGATTCTACATGAAAAACTAAATCAAAAATATAAAATAAAATTTTTTCATACGAGCGTTTGTTTCAGAGAAAGTTTAATTTAAAGATTCGCTGCAAACTGTTGCTTCTGTTCATACTTTAAACGCTGATACACAGTGATAATGTCATATTTCGTAAAGAAACAGTCTACGCAGAAGATAATGTAAATCTGCAACTAAAAGAAAAAATCATACAGGCTTTCATACAATTAAAGTGTCAAAATATCGTATTATCAGTCCATGACTTTCCGATTCAAAGTGCAAGGATTTGTATGTGTTAGTATACACGTCACTTTCAACAACTCATTCAGCAATGTAAATTTAAATTAAGGAAATCATTCATAAATTTATTATCAATACTTATCATGACATTTTAGTATCGTTTATTAGTACAAACGTAAAGCCGCGAGCACGCGTACTCGACAAATTTTTAAATTCAATATTCTCGTGAACTAAATCTTTTATGAAAAAAATTTTATTCTATATTTTCGATGCAGTTTTTTATGTAGCATCACCACCTTCTCGCTTGTACCACCAATTACATGACACTCTGCATATAGGGTGTCCCGTTACTCTTCGAACATCCGGAAGTGGGGGGTTGCTGGGGTGACTCTGAACAACTTTTTCCTTTACCAAAATGTTGTTTGAAGCTTCGTTTATGAATTATTAACGAAAAACACTGGCCAATCAGAGCGCGCGTAGAGCCCGCGCTCAGGCACGGGAGCGCAGCAACTCACCCGCGCGCGATCGTGAATATCGCGTACGCGTGACTTCTCGGTTATCGATCGCTGTCAAAAAAATTTGACTTTGCACCGCTATTTTTATAAGGCTTAGAGAAACGGTTTTTTTCCGTCATTCCGATGTTTGTATAACAATACATACAGTGGAGGACAAAAGTATTCATATACCCTATAAAATGGAATAACTTTTTAAAAATTGGACCAAACGACTTGAGTTTTTTTTTGAGAAGCTAGAAAGATTAGTTTACTAGATGACGTGTAAAAATTTTTTTGAAAAAACTGCAATTAGTCGGAATCACGAAGAAAATAGCGAAGGTTGTTTTTACAACTTTTTTATCTGAGTTCGTAATGAAAATTTAAAAAATGTCAAAATTTATGTCAATTATACACACACTGAAAATTTCATCGAAATCGGTTAATGTTGCTATGAGCTACAAACGGTTAAAGATTGTGAAAATCGCACTATCACGACATTCGGCCTAAAACTGTAATAAATCTGCAGATTCTTACATCTTTCGATGCCTGTCCCTTGTTTCTCCATCCACCGATTTCGATGAAATTTTCAGCGTGTGTATAATTGACATAGATTTACAAAACGTATTTTTTAAATTTTCATTACGAACTCAGATAAAAAAGTTGTAATAACGATCTTCGCTATTTTCTTCGCGATTCCACTTCAGGAGTGGACAAGAGACACAAAAACAACGAAAAAAGTTCATTATTGAATGATCCGTAGCGGATTATTGAAACAACAAAATGACTATAACTTTGAAACAAGGTCAAATAGGACAAATGTTTATATGAACTTTTTTCGTTGTTTTTGTGTTTCCTGTACACTCCTGAAGTTGATCCCACATATTATGGTACACCCTGTATAACAGAGGGCTATTTTCTAATGAAGTTCGATATTAAAAATGAAAAAACGTTCAACTCTGTGGGATCAATTACGAAACAATTAATGGATAGATATTACAAAATTTAAAAACTCAAACAACATACTGTTTTGATACGTAATAAGTAACTGTTATCTGGCTCGTAAGAAGCAACTCGCTATCCCTTCTTCTTTATTTGAAGTGAGTAAGAGATCCGAGAACGAGTGAGAAGTCCGTGAAAGCGAGAAGCCATAAATTTTTACGATCGAATGAACAGTGATGCCGTTTTGTAGAAAAAGAATAAAATATGTATAATGCTTTCTAGTGAGAAAGCACTCTAGTATTAGCGATCCTGGAGTGTTATACATATCTCAAGCCTTTGACACGTGCTTCATATTCTCTCATCCCGTTCAAGAACAAAGTCAAGCCGAATAGCATACCTACACCATAATAAGCGACCAGTCCCAAGCGAGTTGCTTATTACGGATCAAAACTGTAATTTTATATTTTGCTGCTCATATACAGACTTTGAGAACTGTGTCATATAAACTACAATTTGAGCGTTAATCGGTAATATATAAATATGTGTTTATTTCTATATACCTTGTGTCTGTCACGACGATGTGGTTGAGCATTAAATGGAAGACCAGATGGAGGCGGTGGTTGTGTAATTTCCATTAAGGCTGGCGGAATATAAATAGGGTAAGGTGGAATTGGTACACTTTTTCCCCAGCCTAATTTCATCTCATATTGCATTATATCACGACCTAATACACATTATATTGAAATAGAATATTTTTATAATTTAAAAATGAATATAAAAT